CGTTCTAACTCTGGAGGCATCTTTTATGTACCGGAAAGAACGGTGTCTATTGTATAGCTTCTAATTGTGCATAACAAGTCAGTTCACATTACCAAAATGATCAAACCTGTAAACTGGTTTGTTTTCATGCAACTTACGTTGTATGAAACACATTATTATCATTATTATTATTATTACTCCATGGTATTACACTTACATGCGGCCACCCAATGAGCGGACTTTCTATTTTACCGAACCATTTAGCCATTGCCTGCTGTTAGTATTCCTTTTTATTGGACAATAATTTCCATCTAATTCCGCGGACGTTTTACTAAGTTTTAAGCCCCGTGGTTCCTCACAGCCCTCTATGGCTCTGCGGCCAGCTTTCGATTTTCGTGGGCGAAACGGAGTTATTCCTACTGTCCAGAAAGCCGTTTCTAGAAACTCCTTCCTAATTAGTTATTCATCTCTCGATCGATTTTCAGTTTGAGAAAATATTCAAATTGTTAACGACTGTTTCGTTTGGTTAGTGTACACCCGTTCAACCGAAGATATGAGCATGAATCTGTACCTTACATCAACAAGCTGTACCGCCTGCTTGACTTCGCCCGCAGAAACGGCTCTATCACGCTTCAGAAGAAAAAATAATACACGGACCAAAAGTTCACAATATCTCGCCAGTTTGCACAACCCTTTAGGTGGTTGGATTTACAGAAAGTTCTCTTTGAGAGGCCTTTTTGACTTCCTTTGAGTGAATGCTTCTTGTCCCACTGCTCCGTAGTATAGTCGTCTGTCAGACTTCAACTACTTCTGGCTACGACGGTTGAGGAACTAAAAGCTGGCATCGCTTCCCGTTCTTCTGTTTACTTTGGAGATGGCACGTTTTCAGACCAGTAGGGCATGGTGTTTCCCTAAAATGTGATGTGATAGATGGTGTGTCGTGTATGCAATGTCTTCACACCGTTTCACTACAAAAGGCCTTACTTCACAAGATTCTCAAGGTTGCCTGTAATCTGTGCATCTTTTCTACACTGCAAAAAGTTGGAGGCTATTCGGCCTGTTTGTTTGTATGTTTGGGTAAGAAGAGGTCAAGATGTTTGTCAAGGGTACAGCTAAGGGCCTCGAAAGCTTCCAATTCAGAAGCGTTCTTCCCTTTCGGGGCTTTAATAACGAGTGCTCCGTTGGAAGATGATATTCGCTTTCCCTTAGGTCGATGTAAGCTCATGCGGGTAGTCTCAGGCTTCCGAGCGAAGTTTGTCTGGAGCGAACTCTTATCCATCGGTTACTGTGATGTTAAACTGAATTCTGAGAGACTCATATGCTCCACGACTTATTCCAATTAACTTTCCTCTCCTCTTGGCCTGCGAGGTGTGCTCGATGCCTCATTCAAGCTAAATGGTCCTGTTTTGGAATGTTATTACCGCTAGGAAGAAGTTTACAGAGATCATCATCAACGGTAAACGGCGATGGCTAGCTCGTAAATAGCACCACTCACGTGATCGCTGAGCTATCGACAGACTTCAGATCGTCAGCAGGTACTTTGCCCTGCTTTAGTGGAGATAGGGACAACAGCTCACTGACGATAGTCCCAAGTTGATTATCCAGCTTAGCACCACCGCTGTGTGATGACTGAGGAATAAAGACATTTGAGCCTGAATATTCCCAACTAGTAGGTAGCCACTAGTAAAAGGATAGTTCACGTCTGATGATATTTGTCTCGCCCCTGGAGAGCGGCCTCACCAATCCTTTCATCCAGTTCAGCTCTTTTGACCTCAATTAACGGATTTCGACCCTATCTAACCCCGGGTTGTTACAGAATCTACAACACTGACAATATGGTCGTTTTCCATTGTCAACGGTATAGATAATACTTGAAATAGTAACTGATGCTATCCCCTATCACTAGTTAGACGCTGAACAACTCCTCCCTCTAGGCACTTGGTGAATATGATTTCAAAGTGACAAGAAACTAAGTCCGGAAGCCCTGCCAGCATACCGTGGGAGGCCGGTTGGCTTTTGTGAGGATTAATTAATTAATTATCCCTTACACTCCAGAGTCTGTCTGAAGCATGAAGTCTACCCTCCCTCTAGTGTCAAGAATATCGACGGTGACGGAGTTTTTGTCAGAAATACAATTTTTTGAAAAAAAAGTGATCTAGGAGGTCTGCCATCGATGTGCTTCACAAAATACGTGTTTCTGTGGTGGCTGAGAGAAGAGGGTAGTTTTCCGCAGCAGGTGGAATCGCTGCTGTTCAGCCGGTTTCATGGGAACAGGCCCAAGTAAGCATTCGCCAAAAATGTTCATTGTTGCCCTTCTTGAAAAAGGTCATCAGCTTGGCTTTTATGGTGTCGATGCAGGCCGTTAACAGCCTGAGGATGAGGGGAAACCAGTGGTGTTGTTTCTGTTATCAACATCTGGGTGGGCTCCCGCAGTAAACGACATTTTCATGTTAACACGACGTTGGCCTGAAGATCCGGCTGTTTGAAATTGGCGACCATGATTAAGGTGGGACCGCTGACGTCAGGTGCGAGAAACTCTATAGCCCCAGAACGAGGCGGTGGACGTGCCACACAAACGCATTAGTGCCACCGATCACTTCGGTCACCAAATGTCGAGACATATTTTTCTTCTGGGCTTTCGGTTGCGGTTCTGGAAATCAGTATGCATACTTGACTGTGTTTCTCAGGTGGAGTGCTTCTCACGATACTTTTCTAATCAATCGAAACCGATTCAGTTCAACGCTTATACTGGAAGATTAGTTAGCAGCCAGCCCTTAACGCAGCACGAAACGTTTTTCGGCTCCGCTGGCGGACCACGGTTCATATCCGTTGGCAGGCGTTTCTGTGAAGATGAGTGGCTGCTTTATGTAATCACCGATGTTCCGACTCTAGGCTGCCAAGCCTTAAAGCATTTCGCATTTGATTGCTACTTGTCAGATACTTCTTTTCGTTAAAGCAGGCCGTCATCTCAAACGGGAACATTAAATGGTACAGCAGAAATTGATCTGTAATCAACAACCAAGTGAGCGATCTTAAGGGCGAATCGCGTGTTTCAATCATTCCTACTAACCTTCTTTCATGTTAGCGGTAGTTGATACCAGAGAAGGTCTAGGGTTCCAGCCTAGTGGCCTGACGTTGGTGATGATCGCTTAACCATTTTTGACTGCTAACCTCTGGACCGTCCGAGAATCGTTGGTGACTATCATGGTGTTGCAAATCCCCTTCATGGCAGTGGCAAGCGCCAGACCTTATGTTTGTTCGGTAACCATTGAAGGGTTTCTTATACGCCTCAAGGACAGTTCGTAGTTAAAAATGGGATGATAAAAATCTGTGGATGTATCCATCAGGACTACGTACATTAGTGGTGCATATTATAACAGCACTGGTACCTTACGTTCTTATTGCGTTGACTATGTGCTCATCGATTACAGAAGCTGTACCCGAATGCTATATGAATTTTAACCACGCTAATGTCACGTATTTGACATTCATTATCCCTCCCAACGAGATCAGCTAGAGGCTTCTTTCACTTCCTTGTTTTTTCCACTAAAAAGCTTTTACAAATAGGCTGGCATTTGTGCTACATGTTCCAAACAGTCTGTGGTTCATTGACACAAGGCGGAAATGTAACCAGGTTTTCAACGGCCCCCCAAATGACGTCAGTCCTTGAAGAATACTACCTCTGGATTAAAATCCCTTTTCACCACAAAAAGAACAAAAGTGTTTCCAGCCCGTGACCTCTGAGGAAGTAACTTTTCGGAATATCTCTACACTTGGTGGATCGACTAAAACCTTTTGGGCTATTAACAGGCACTTCAACTGCAGCACCAGTTATCGCCGAATAACGGCGGGATTTTGACCTGGCGAATTTCTCGGTACGGACTTCACTGATAACAACGTACGGTTTCCACGCATATATATATATGTCGAAGATGATGGATGTGCAAAGACTTAGACAAAATCAGAAAAAAAGAGAAGGCTGAGCAATAGGTCGTTTACCTTAGTTTCGGTTATCTGGCTATGTGAATGTTGAATTCTAGTAGATACCCACGAACCCTGGATGCGAGTAAGTGTGAAATGTAATGCTGCAACTACAGCATCCTCAGAGATAGAAGGCGACCTTCCAAATAATAGCCCGTTTGGAGAGTGACGGTGTTGACCAACCAAAAGTTTGACGCCAAGGTTGCAAACTGCTAAAAAAATCGTCGTGTAGGAAGGTGTAGTATCACACACTTCTCAAGAATCAACAGTCTAGCGTTCGACGAGATTCACCAGTGATGCCAACCGTCATAGTTTAACCGGACTCGCTAAGCTGAAGGCACACGGTCAAGTATCCACGCCATTTGGCAAGCTATCTCGTTACGTTGCACGGCTCATAATCGACCCTATGGTCAGTTAGTTGGAACGCGTCGGTATCTTGGCCTGGCCTAACAAGTGCACCATTCCACCCGACTACGCCACTGTGCCCTCTATTGATCTTGTATTCGTGGGTATAAAAGGAGTACGAAGAATTAGCGATTGGCCCCCGGGTCTGTCAATTCCTAAAATGGTTTTGACATTGAGTACTCCGGAGTAGAATGAAAACGAGGTACCCGTCAGTATAAAAAGGGCATTTAAAACGATTTTCAGTGTTTATTTGGACTGCAATTTTCCAGTAGGTCAACAATCAGCAAAACGTCGGGAAGTAGGCTTTTCTGAGCCAGCTTTTAGCTCTCAATATTCAGGTTCGGAATCTTAACGTCTACCAAACTTTGTTTAATCACTGCCCAAAATCTGACAGGGTCTTCAAGCGATCGTGTCTTTCAACAACTACTATTCTTGGCAAGCTAAATCTTGTTCAGCTTTTTAATAGAACACCGAGAAGTTGCAATGCTTTAACTATAAATTATGAGAAATATCCATTTGCCTTGACACTAATTTCTGATTCATAAGAATATTGGATCAAAAACTTGATGCAAGCACAAATTGCATCAGAATGTATTTGATTATCTTTTGTTTATGTGTTTCAGTGTACCTCATAAAGCTACTCTTCTTACAAGGTCATTTCGCTTATTTGTTTCTGCGCTATGTAAGTTATTTTAACAAATAGGTTTTGTCAATAAGAAACTCGCTTCAGTAATATTATTTGGCTGCTGGGTTGTCAAGTTCTCATATGTTGCATTTTTGAGGTTCCTTTAACATGAGTGTCCTATACAAAAACCGTATATCTGTGGCGCCAACATAGTGAAGTACGTTATCACGAACTGATTTTTCTAAAACCTTAATAACCATGCCAGTTAGACTCACAGGACGATAGCTAGTTAACCAAACTGGCGACTACTGGCCTTAAAAGCTGGGCTGATTATAGCATCTTTCCAGTCTCTAGGTAGGTGAGTCTGAGATAAGGACATATTGAAAAGACCAGCAACTGGCTCAGTAACAATGTCTTGTAGCAAAGATAGCAATCTGAGATACAACTCATCGGAACCCGGGGATTCTCCAGGTTTAAGATTAATGAGCAGGTGGAAGACTGTTTGCTTTGTTATTATCCCTGTATCCATTGGTGGGGCAGTGTTGACACCACTATTGAGCACATCGCAGTCATGATCTACAGAAAAGACTTCGCTAAAGTAATCAGATAGGAATTCAGCCTTGAGGAGATCGGATTCCGCCAGACTATCAGATATTTCATCTATCACCAGAGGTGGGATTCCACATTTTCGTTTCGTCCTGATGAATGCTAGCAGTCTTTTATGACAATTTTAGCGATCATTTACAAGCTACTTCTCTTAAGATGTTCAAGACTGATCAAAGGTTTGCACAAATCATGGACTTTATAGTACTCATTTCTAAATATGTCCACTCTTTTCTATAAACAAGTCCCATAAACTTTTCCTCCGCCCTAATAGTTTTTGAGTGTTTTTATTAAACCATGATGTGTGATTCAAGGATTTTCGTGAGGTCGGTCGTGGAATAAATGGCGTTTTAACCTCTTTGGCTCTAGTTCTAAACCTATCCCAAAAGTTCTCGATTGATGAGTTTGTAGATAATCCTTACCGACTATGCAATTCCTTGTACTTGAAATATCTTCACGTCATAAATTAGGTCTAGGAGAAGCAGTATTGTAATGAAACTCATACGTTTGAAAACCGGGATTTAGCACTACGTGGTCGCTGTTGGCTAACGAGAGAAGATTCAGATTCAAATTTGTCGTTTGAGGATAGGAGTCTGGGAGCCTATACTAATCCTTTCCAGTAGATTTCTGTGCTTGTCCAATCCCCTTTTAAACGAGTCAGTTGGTGATGCGGACACCACTTCTTCTGGGAGTCGGTTCTAGGCGTTGATTACTCGACGAGAGAACCAGTACTTTGTGGAGACTTTGTTCTTTGCTTTTTAGTCTCCTACTAACACCCTCGGTGTTCCGACCCTGTAAAGAGGAAAAGAGAAGATAGATCAGGTTCGAAGTCATTTCTGAAGTATCACGGATCTATAATATTTTTACACAGATGAGTTAAAAACAAATCTAATGACAATGGCCTGTCTTCGAAATCGTATCGTGTTGTACAAGTTACGTTTTGAACTAAACCAGATCCTACTACCGTCAAAAGCAGATTGCTTTCAAAGCAACTGCCCGAAGCTGACACTATAAGCTCGGTCCAGGTTAGGTGTGGGGCATTCAGATCCCGAACTATCAGACATGCGTTGCTCCTACTCCATTTACGCATACGAGTTAGCGCGAAGTCATTTGCAAGCCAAGATAGACTTCAGTAACTTACCGCAATGGTACAAAAACTCTCCTTTGACTTCAGCTCGTAACTGGCCACTTCGCAGGTACTCCATTCATGTGCTTCAGAAGTGAATGATCGTATGAAGACATCACGGACATATGATAGTATTTCGCTATCTTTGTGACCCACAACCCCATCTGTTCTTACACAGTAGTACCAGTTCAGAAGTGGCGTAAATTCTAAGTCCTTTACCAGCCAGGTTTAAGGGAGGACTACTACATCAAGACGTAGTTCATAGGCTAGTCTCGAGGTCTGCCATTTTATTTCTAACGCTGCGAACATTGATGTAGATTGCGTTCACAGTGTTTAAAGGGTCTCATGGTCCGCCTATCCACATCTTGGAAGCGTTCGTTCCCAAAACCCAACAACCTGAAAACACAACTTTAAGAGTGGTTAATCCTCTAATTTGTTGAATCTTCAGCTCAGCGATCGCTTCTCCTTTTATTTGTTCCTTAAGAGGCCAGTCTGGTCTGATGTGGACGTCAAAATCTCTTAGTTTGGATGCATTATTCACGCGTACATTCATTTCTTCTTTATTGCCTAGAGCAACCTTTAAAATCCTGCCTTCGAGGTTACCATCCTTTTTTCCTAACAGAATACTTTGGAGGTGCGTGCTCCTTTTGAGATAGAATGTCTGATAGCCGACTCGACCGAATGCAGATCATATGTATGACATACTGAAGGGTCCTTGTCCACTGATTCCTCAAAAATTAAGATCATACTGGACGTTACTGTCACCTGTGCATACCTTCGTCGACTGGGATTCGGCAGTTAGCTTGACCACAAACGTCATTATCGCTAACCATGTTATTCACAATTAAGTGAAATTCCCACTAGAACCGTACTTTAACTGTAGTACTCAGTTCAAGTTAAGCCACAAAGATTTAAGTTGCGATAAAACAACAAAGGCCTTGAACTACAAAATATAAATCATAAGACAACCGTTGGAGTTGTTCTTATTCTGAACCTGAAAAAGCAAAAATGTCTCCAAAAACAGACCTCAAGCTTAAAACTGATAAGACCTCTGCATTTGGAAGATATCATAATCTGGTGTATCCCAGGGAGCGAGTTTGTACCCGCTGTCGTTCCTCTCATGTGAATGACATCCGAATGAGCCTCGGGTTCCCGATTTCATTTTATGCGGACATCAATCTACGGACAGCTGTGGAGTCCGGAACAATCAAGGGTACTACAAAGTAATCTCATTGCTTGGAGAGTAGGTGAACAAACGGCCCAAAATCCAACCTGGATGAGTGCCGACCCATGTGTCCCCACACTTCCGACTTGCTAAAAGTATCCAACTCCCTTACGCAATTTTCCCACACGAACTTTTCGCAACACCCAGAAGTGAGCGTAAAGAAACCAGGTAGTTTATACTACTTCGTAAAAAGATATTGGATATTAAAGTACTGGATTCAAACTCGGGTGCTCTGATAAAGTGAGCAGGGTTGACACCAGCATTTTACCCTGTGTGATAGCAGCTTCAGTGAACTTGGTCTTGACGGAAATACGTAGGAGCAGGATTAATACAGGCTACTTGGTCTTTTAACGTTGATAATAATGTTAGGTGAAGACAAAACTTCACCATCATTATAAATGAAGTAAGCATTGCATCTTGTTTTCGATTTTCTAAACACTCTGGGATTATATAAAGACCTACCTACATATATTGCCTCATTAAGTTGGCATTGTTGCCATTAAATAGTCAACAGAATCAAAATAAAGGAATTACATTACTGTTACGCTACTGACGGACGACGACCTTCCTATAGTGCTCACTTGCCTCTTGGTCGTGACAACCATGCAGTAATAACCTTCGCAATAACTAGGGAAACTCTACAGCCAGGGACACTTGATACCTTTCCTTGCTGTCCCAAAGGCAACTATGAGACCACGAAAGAGTGCCTGGGGAGTGTATCACGGCCTGAAGACTGGAACAATCTCGTAGCAGACGAACGCTAAGCACAAGTGAAGGAAATAATCCTTGGTTCCACCCGTCACGGTGTGTCGATCATCAGTGAGAACCTCATAGCCAAAGCGCGGAACAAAGATGTTGCCCCAGACCAAAATGCACCCAGGGTTTGAATGGCACTCATCATTCAGAATCAGACCTCTGCATTAACAAAAGTAATTCGTGACAAATACAGAATAAGAGTCCGTAGTGACACTTATAGCTGTCGTTCGAACCTGGTGAGTAGATTACAAATTTGTACGGAAAATATGTGGCACTTCATGTCGAAAAATAAATAGACTGGCATAGCACTTAATCTCATAACAGACCCCAGTAGAGATGTACTGAACAGTTTTCAAATGGCTGAAGTTCTGTGTTCACACTTGAAGGTACGGTGTATTACTTCTGAAACCGAATCCGCATTGATGTGAGACCACAGGGAACAGACCAATCGGAGTGAATACCTTTGTCATACACTCATCGCACAGAAAAATATGAGAGAAACTCTGAGCAAGTTCCCTCTCTGTAACGGGCTAAGACCAGTAGCTCTGAGGAATTGCTCTGAAGCATCTCGGAAAAACATACGGTCTCCACAAGCACTTGCTGGAGCCGACCAGATACCCTAAACGATGGATATGGGCCATCTTGTTAGTCATTTTGAGGGGAAATGGTAGATAAGAAAAGTCCTGGCAACCACAGAATGGCTGCTTCGATCCCTATACTGTTCAAAATACTGGTAAGCCTGACAGAGGTAAGATCTAGAAATTCTTTAACGGCAAAACACTAATCAGACTACTCAACGCAGCTGTCATAATGGTCGTTCATATGCAACCGGCTGGCTGACTACTCAAGACATCTGGACATTTAGCCAGGACAACAGGGAACCAATTCTTTTCATTCTTCTAGACCCAGTAAAAGCATTTGACACCATCTGAGCGACTTACAGCTAACATAACTCTAGTCTTCAGAAAACGATTGAAGTTCCAATCTGGAAAATTTCCCCTATGCTGTTCTGCGAAAACTCTCAGTCTAAGGATGGAAAATGAAGTAATGTAATGCTTTAATCTATTTATGTGGCTGGATCAGCCTTAATAGGTTAGCTACTAGTGAAATATCGAGCGTTACAAGAGACCGATTTCGTTTCTACCAAAGTAGACATCTTATTACGTCTGTGAAATATCTACTTATCTATCAGTATACCTTACTTTTTTCCACTCTTTAGTACACTGTGACCATGATATTTAATCCTTGAAGTTAAAAGGAATTTTATAAAAGTGTTTTTGATCATATATATCTGGGTGTCATTGTGTACGTGTGGAAAAACCAATGACCAGTATTGAGATAATGTATAGAATTTTGGTCATATAAGGTAAGTTATTTGACGAGATAGGTAAACCTCATCAACTCATGTTGTGGAAATGTGTTACGTATTCTGAACTGTCGTCTGCCGCGATTTCCAGTGTTATTGGAAATCGGACTAGGCTGAATAAAATCTAAGGGTTACCAGACAAGTATATGGCACCAGGCCATGGAATCACCGACGGTCGGTCTGTGCTGCTTGTCTGAGTCCCAAGAATGTTAGGAGCCACTATTTATAGATATACTATAGTGGCTCGAATTGAATCGCAATAGCTTAAACGCGTATTCACTCTTCATCGTCTTCGAAATCGTGAACACGTTACTAACCCTCATCAACTTACTTTCCTTTGCTATTCTCTTATTTAATAGCTTTGTACCTCACTAGATTTGCGTGTTATTGCGACATGTAACAGCTTGGGCTGAAGCATATTTTTTGAGAGGTTTTACTGTGCTACATTGGTACTTCTAATCGTCCTTGTTTAGTTTTGACTTAAGTATATTGATAGAGGTAAATCCTTACCTCCGACTGTTTATGGACTGATTTCTCAGCTAGTCTTTCATTCATTTTAGAGTCTGGTTGATATCATATGGTTGAAGCCAATCAGCAAGAAGCCCTGTTTAATCTAAGTTTCTTGCTTGTTAACACTTGTTAGCAAGGCATATCTGCAACTTATGGGGAACTAGTGTTCCTCGAGGGATGCGGACTCTCATAACTGAGTGATGTGGGTTCAGACCTTTGAAGAGTGATCATTTTCCTAATAAAAAAGTTTGAGATGTGCTGGCAAGTTGGTTGGTCACAAAATGTTAGGACAAACTAGTAAGACTATGGGTAAGAGATAAATCATTGAAAGGCCTAAAACCGAAGGCTAAAGCATTTTACGAACCGCAGCAGATTCGGCTGACTTTCACCTGGCTCACCGTCTAGTCCCAACTAAAGTGCCCTCAAAGTCTTACAGAATCTAGAAATATAATTGCAGCAGTATCCGGTTGTCTGCTCCTGAAAACAGTTTTACTCAGGAGTGATCAGTTATTTAAACTGAGGTTTCAGTTGAAGTATCGAAATCAAAAGAAGTCCCTTGGAACTGGTATCAATCACCAGTCTTTTCTGTTTCTGTAATGTACAAAAACGTTTGTTTGATGACTGTGCACCAAATGTTTTAGTAATAGTTTCTGCGTAAACTAGTATTGATGATACTCGTAAATTATACTGTCTACGGTGCAAGGACAGGTATGGGTACCCACACTGCGGCCTTGAAGTAGAACTGGTTCATTAGTCGAGGCACTTGACTTTCAACTGATGGATCACTGATTCGAGCATAGTTGCAACTACCGATACTTAGGCAACTAGATAGTATCACAGGAAGTCACACAAAAGGTGTGACTCATCAATTACCAAGCAGATTTTAAGTTTCCAACTATTTTCACAGTCATTAAAGCGCTAGGAACTAGTAATGTAAGATGAATAATTGCTCAAAGTTTGATGATTGTATTAATTCTTACTTTTATTCACGTCCATGTGTATTCTTGTCCACTTTACTATTCTTCGAACTTTCTAAATTTTCTCTTATATTGTACTGTGGTGTGCAGCAACTCTAACCAGTTCACGTGTTGTTTTTCTGTTTACCACTATCCAGCTTACTTCACACATGGTGCTATCGTGATATCCGACAGCTTATTAAAAACCGAGTGTACTTCGCTACAGTCCCCTCTGTTCTCTTTTATGGCTGTTAAATGCCTCCATTAGAGCACACGAGAAGATTCCAGGTGTTTGACCACCATTGTTTGTGTTCCATGGGCGATGTGTTGTGGTACCACCGCGTCAGCAATGCAGAAGTCAGGTGTAAAGGTTTGGATAGGAGAGAGAAGTCAGTTTGTAAGGTTTTCAACCCTTGTTGACTAAGATGACTAGGACGTATGTTACACATGCCTGGTTGGTGACCATGTGTCTGGTTGCGCAACGATGGGTGAAGTAATTTGCAGCTGGGAAAGGGTTTGAGGTGACCAGGCTGAAACATGGCGTTGATCCATGAGGTCTTTGAGTGTTGGTGTGAGATGTGTAGGGAAATGTGGACTTGCAGATTGGTGTATGTGTGACCAGTTAAGTCAGTAGTTGGAGATGCTGACTGATGTAACTCGAAATCGACGTCAGTGGCAAAGATGCGTCCACATATCCTAGCCGTCATACTGAGCTTCATTATTATTGTCTCACTCCTCCTTGTTTTCTTTTCATGAACTTCCACCCATTTTGACTGAAATCGTAGCTGTGATATAGAAGGCCGTTTTAGCATTCGCCAACTTATGTTATATTTGGCGCCAGCGAGATATCTTAATATGAATCAAAGGACGTGTATACTGCGATTCAGTTTTTTCTGTCCTGTAATGCGGGTGTGAGACTTGGCCATTAAAAGTAGAAGACATGACGCTATTACAGGGTTTCGATCACGAATGTCTTAGTAGCACTGCTTGCGTTTGGTGGAATCTCCGTGTGGAAAATGTTGGGGTCAGGCGAAGGGTATTAGGCATGTCGATTAATAAGGTTGTGAACCTTAGGTGACTGAGGTGGTTTGGACGTGTACTGCACATGCCGAACTACTGCTTACCTTGACAAGCCGTGCTAGGAAAAGGTGGAGTAGGTTTGAAGAGTGTTCCGGATGGCCAAATTAAGACATAGCACTAGCTGGTGGAGGCTGTAACTGAGTCCAGGTCGTATTGGAAGATGAAAACTACCTGGCTGAGGTCTTCGAGACGAAACGAATCAGTGGTTGGGGACTGTTGGTGAAACGGCTGAAAATCAGTCACAATGCTGCAGATTTATTCATTCTTTGATGTCTTTTAAAATGTGAATATTTTCACTAATCTTAATTTTCAAATTGCGTCTCGTTGCATAGACTTTTGTTTCCTTTGAAATCAGCTTGTACCTGTGCTTTCTGTGCTACTTCGAAGTGTCCGACATGAGCCAATGCACTTGTATTCGAGTCGCTGTGATAGTTTTGTCTCTCAGTTTCACTTGAAAACGGAGTTCACATTTGATGTTTTTCTTTTAGGAGCACTGCTGGAGCGTCGCGCAAACGAAGAAAGGGTGCTAAGGTTTCTCAAGAGCAGCACGCTGGGTAAGAAATCACGCACTTTTCCTTAATCATCATCCTAAAACCACCTAACTGTTCACAATATTATCCCTCCCAAAAATATTGCGGATAAAGTTTTTCTGCTTTTATACAACAAGGAAACATCTGATTATAGATTCAGAGGTTCATAGAAAAGCAAATATTTTCTTCTGAATCTTAAATTTATGCAAAGTATTAATTCTTTCTGATGCTCTGAAAGATATGTCAAGATAAAACAAGAGCATTCATGTACTAGTGATAAACCTAAGATAGATTGACTACTGTCCTACTAACTCCTTTCATCCACATCTTTCTTCCTGAAGGAAAGTGTCTACATGCTGTTCAGGTCCAACTAACCTCTTGTATATAGCACTATCCATTTCCATTCATTATCCGAAATCTTCCAGTTAGTAGCTCAGTCGACCACGGAAGGGAGCACCCGTTTACCTGAGCCACCACTAGTGTGTGCATTACTATGTAGTGCTACCAATATTAGAGTGCTCCGGGTTATCGGTGTAATTATCCATTTTGGACGACTAGTCTGTTTGTTTGTGCATTTTCACCCAGTGGGACACGGACTCAAACCCGTCCCCCCCCGACTACCGAGGTCTGAGTAGCCCGATAGTGGTATCACTAGTCCTCATGCAATAGATGCGGCTTGTCACCTACTACGCCAATGTGCATGTGGTTCCCGAATGCATTTTGATTTCCATTATATATATGTATGAATGTATGTACAAATGAGTTTTTCTATGTACATATATGTTCGGGTGGTAAAATATAAAAACGTTTGTTGTGTGCTATGGTTATCAGGGATGACGCTGAATGCTTTTGGATGGTATCACCTTAGGCATGTGTCAGCACTGAAGGTGTGGTAAAACTGTATGATATGGGCTGGAAATCGACGACAAGAGGGAAGTGCTTGAGGTGACAATGCTGGCTGACAGGTTGTGTTCAGTGATGTCGTTTGGTAGCACGCGCAATGGACCGATTCTGTTGTGTGTTCATCTACATCTTCATGATGTATACTGGTTACAACGGGTTAGTTTCCCTTCAACTGTGAGGCGTTATCCTACTGGTTATTTTTAGTGTTTTTGAGGATTAAGGTGACTGGAAGCTGTGAGCATTTGTGTCAGGCTGTCGTTTAAATGGTTTGGAGTGAGGCACTGAGTTACATCGTGAAACTGGTGTCCTGTGTATGCTAGGTGACTCAATAATCGAGAGTTGAGATATACTCGTTTGTTATCCTGCATTGATAGTGGCAGTATCAGTTATTTTATTTCTTGCTATAGTTATCCTGATAGTATTACTAATCGTACTAGTAAAAGCATCTGTTCGTTGTGCTCTGTGATTTTTGATGCTTTTGGTTAAGTTGTGACTGGTAACTTGTTTTTTGCGAGAGATGGATTTACCGAGGGGTCGTTTCATCGAAATCTTTTATATGTTCTCTGAATTTTATCTGAACTTGTAGAACGGTGTGTGTTCATGATAAGAATCAGGCTTTTGATACAACTTATTTACCTGGCACTAGTGAGTCATTATGTCTCAGAAAACATGAAGTTCAGTGGAGAGACCGTGGGAACAATTTTTACATGGCTGGTTACCTGTTATGTAGCTACCTATTCATTTGTTCTGTTTCCTTTCAGTACAAATCGTGTTGCAAATTACTTTTTCTTAATAGTTTCCGTTGGAAGGCTTCAGTTTTGCCTAAAACATTGTTATTCATCTGAGCATTTTTTAACTTGTAATTTTCAGTGTTTTTTACAGCCTGACTAGCAGTTCATCTTCTATCCACATTTGCAATGTAATTCGTTGATTGGTTAGTCCTTACTCTTACTATGTTAATGTCTGAATTTGCGGACAAGGTCATTTCTCATGTGCATACAGACTCACGTTTTTTTTTCGCTTTTGTTATTATTCGGCCAACTTTAAAGGCTACCCTAGCAACGAAAGAAACACCCAATTAGGTTTCTCCTTTTTGGCTAGAAAGACAGATTTCCATAAAGTAGAAAATCCTAATTGGTTACTTCACTCACTGCTAGGGTGGCCTTTAAAGTCACTCTTATTCTCGGAGTAATAAACTCTCCCATCTAGCTTGGATCTTCTCTATTCGTCCCGGGTATATTATCCACTCGGAATATATAATAGTTCGCAACGCTGTCAGAAAGGATGCACAGCAATTAAAAAATTGATGGAGCAGCAACTGAAGAGATGCAACTAATTGCTGGTCTGCGCGTCACTCCATCTTTTTTCTGTGATACAATTGGTTCCAGCATTTAGAAGTTTGTATACAATCCAGATGCCAACACCACCCTTGATACATGGTTTCGACAACACATAGACCTCTTCAGAGTTGACTCTGTAAATCAAGACGACGCCCGGAGAGTTAGACTTCTAATCCGAAAGCTTGGTCCAGACGAATTCCATAATTGTTATGATCTTATCCTTCCACAGAACGCACGCGACAGAATATTTGATGAAACAGTAAAAACATTACGCCAGCAGTTTAGAGAACATCGTTCACTCTTCATGTCCACTATCACTGCATGAACCTGGTACTCAATGAAGCTCATAACATCCATACCGAGCCTCGGATTGTGAATAAGGCATGTGAACGATTCAAGTTGAAGTCGCTGACAGACGAATAAATCAAAGTACTCATATTTATTTGTGCTCTTCAGTCCTCGAAATTCGCGGTTATATGCACTCGACTGCTGAATTGTCTGGAACAAGACCCGAAGCTGACATTGAAAGATATTGGTGAGGAATATCAGTGATTAACTAATGTACCTCAAGATACCACCCTAATGATGACTATCCAAAACACGACAGAAGTGAATGCTATCAAACACCCAGTATCCACACCTAGATGTACATCAGGTAATGCAATAAAACCGCCCTACAAACAGTACCCAGCGAAAACAATCCTCTGAAATGTTGAGATTTTGGAGCTTGGCATTATGTGCAATGGAGCCCCTTCAAACGACACAAGTGTCGCTGTTGTCACTGGTGGGTCATATGGATTAGTTTTGCCGCCGACCAAGTTCAGATCACACGAAAACAACCTTATTTCCACTTCGACCAATAACAAAACTCATCAGTATCACAGCTACATTTCATATCAGTAGTCCAGTGCAGAGGAAGCATATAACCCTGAACATATAAATCGTCCACCTGCATGTCTCTAAGTGGATACAGCGTCTGATATCACAGTGATTTCATGAGAAATATCGTCTAACCTTAGTTGGCCAAAACTGTTGAAAACCAGACAAGCACTCATCAGCGCCCGTGGCGGCAATCTTCAAATGGTGAGCCTACTAAACTCTCATGTTTCCTTCGGAAACACTACTTTTCATGTAATTTGTAACATTACAGATGCTAATCTCAAGCTTTTGGATCTCGACTAGTCCGAGAGTTTTAAAACGCCGACCCTTCACTGAATATCGCATGCGACAAAGTGGAAGCACCGTCAGACGTCCCGACGAACCCTAACAACATTATTACTAAATATTCCAATGTTTTCTAACTTCACCTTGGTAACTGTACCACAACCAAAGCCATCCTATGCCCGAAACCAAATGCACCACCTATTTTTTGTCCTAGAAGACCCGTCCCATATGCATCACTACCTCTCATCGATGGAGAACCTGGACGACTTCATGGACAGGGTGTCATTACTTCAGTATCCCATCCTTCTTGGGCTGCTCCGATCGTCGTCATGAAGAAGGCTAATGGCTCCGTTTGACTATGTGCAGACTTCCCGACAGGTTTAAATGCTGCTTCGGAGCAACACCATTACCCCATGCTTGTTCCAGGTAATTTATTCACCACACCAACCGGAGGAAAATATTCTGCAAAAACCGATCTAACGGATGCATACTTACAAGTCGAAGTCTCTCCAGAATCCTGTCAACTCCTGAATATCAATACCCATCGAGGTCTTTTCCAGTACAATCGTCTACCATTCGGCATTAGAACTGCTCCCGAAGGGAGTAATGTTTTATTTTTCCGAAGAAGGGAAGTGTTGGAAAGCCCTAGTTTCGCAAATAACAACATTGCTGTTTGTCTGAACATTTTCTGAAGTTTTCATTTTCACACAATTTTATACAGTATGACTAGTAGTTTATTTTCTGGGGTGACTTTAAAGGCTGTCCCACCAACACTGCTGGAATGAGCAATCAGGCTTCTGTATTTTGAAGTGAAGCCATTGTCTCTCTGATCAGTTGCTAGGGTTGCCTTTGAAGTCACCCATTTTCCGCCCACATTCTCAATGTAATTGGCTGATTGGCTAATCCTTACTCTATGCTATTAATGTCTGAATTTGCGGACAAGGTTATATGGCATGTGCACACTGACGCACGTGCTTTTGAATTAATTAGTCGATTATTTTTGTCAGAGGAATAAACTTCTCCATTTAGCTCTGGTTTTCTTTCTGTTCGTCGCAGATTGAGGTCGTTGGCTCTTGCGTAGGAAGTTAGCTGTCAGTGAAGCATGCGTATTGTATTCGTTCGAAATATATAACACCAGGAACGACTGACCAAACCAATTTTGTCTATGTGTTTTGACTGGGAAGGCGAGTTTTCATAAAATAAATCAATAAATCGAATTGGTGGTTTCACTTGTTGTCATTGTAGCTTCTAGAGTCACTCCTGTTTTGTTCTTGACTTTGAATGCTCAGTGTGTTAAAATCTCCAAACTCAGAGTTCGCTTGTAGCGTAGGAACTAAAGAACCTGTAGTTAGCTCTTTATTGAAGATGGTAGCCTGAAGGTTGTAATCTCGTCGAATTGGTAGAGATATTTTTATTGAACTGCTAGTGTTATTCTTCATGTCTGAACTTTGAATGTTTGAGTTAGATGAAGTATATGGTGCTGGATTGTGGCATATATCAATATCAATATCTATACTGCGTACACATTTTATGACTTAAATTCACTCATTCTTCATTGGACACAGAGGTAGGTAGTCTGGCGTCCATTAGTGTCGCACTTGACACTTTTTGTTTTTGTTTTGCAGCTGGACTCTATTTCTGTTGGTTGTACACTGATTCATAGTGTAAAGTGTAAAACTTGTAGAGTAACCAGTCTCTTGTTCTTTGAATGTGAGCTTTTGATATACAGAAAAGGTTTCTATACCATTTTCTAAAATGGTACCAGCAAGAAACGTTTTGTGTTGAATTATCCCTTCTTGTAAGTTAGTTCCTTATGAAAGGGTGCCATGTTTACCATTGAAGCATTGTTGATGTGTGCGCATGTCTACGTCTGATGAGAATCCTTTTTCTGGGATCTGATGCTTTTTTCTCCTGCCTCTCTCTTATGGTATGTTTTGTGTGACACACAAACTAGTATATTCTATATGCAAAATAAGTCTTCGGTGCAAAAGGAAATGAGACGATAATCAATCATAGAGGTTCTTCAGAAAGCACTTATTTTTAGATATTTAAATGAACAGACCTCAAGAATATTGGTCTGAGCATTCTAAAGTTGATTCAGAAGATTTCTATGGTGTTGATACATGAAGTTTCAACGCGTAAAACGCAGCATATGTCTGTTCGTTATGATCAAATAGTTAACCTTATTCTACGCCGACTTTTGTCAGATAGTTGAACATAGGTGGGTTTACTATCCTTGCGAAAATAATTGTGATCGCAAAAAAATCATTGAACTGTTAGCTCTGAAGTACTTTAACCTGTTTATCAGTGGAATGTTGATCTACCTCTTTCTCTGTCTCGCTCTATCGCTATCGAGAGACTGATGGATTCCATGAAGTTAATGTAGATACTGAATTTTTCATCTTGGTAATGTCATATCACATGGGCTACCAGATTATTCCCTCTGTAAAGTTATTGTCGAATATGATGCTGTTTTACGAGAGTTTTATTGAAAACTGTATTTTCCTTCTGTAGACCTTCGGGTTCAGTGGGCCCTCCCCCCGAGCTTTCTGGCTCAGTCAGCGTCACCTCATGTCTGGAGGGCCCTACCGAAACATTGAGGGCCGCCAGACAAAAAAAAAGTCATCCTCAAAAAGAACCAATGTAAGTATTGTTTCAGAATTCGGGTCATTTTCTAATGTTGCGATTAAAAAATCCCTGAGAAGCTTTCCGCTTTTCTTTTCCTTTTAGAATTCATCTTTCTGAAGGTTTGTCCAGGTAAGTTTTGAGTGAAATACATTTTTAAAGTCGTCTTTCTCACTTGTTTGTATGGACGAATAAAACTTTTATTTTTATTCTCTTACAGATTGGATTTGAATAAAATATCGATTCCTGGTCGACCGGACAAAGGTGGTAGTTTAGGAAAGAAAATAAGCGTTACCGCCAACTGCTGGGATATTTCTGTCTTGTCCAAAGTTGTGTATATGTATAGGGCTGAAGTCAATAAAGTTTACCGCAAAGACAATAAAAAAGGCGAAAAAATCGAAATAAGAATGCCACCGAAAGATAAGCGTGCCTTAATCAAACAGGTTACCGATCAGTAAGTATGGCTTGGTGTATTGTTTCCTATGGGTTTCATGACTTATCGATTGTGTATGCGTTTTTCTTTGCTGAAAACATTTATTGACTTCTCACTACCAGACAAAGATGAAAAGACTGAACAAGTTTATTTTATCTCCAATGTTATAACGTGCATAAAAAGTTCATAAGTATGCATTGGTTTTGACTGGATAAAATTGCAAGTTACCTATTTATTCATAGTGCAATAAAAAATCCAATTTCTCTTAAGTGGTATGATCAAAACAACTAATTTCCGGACATTTTCAGGTTAAATTTTATGCACGTAGCGATATTTCCCACCTTTTTTTTCGGTCTTTTGTGTACTCTTTGAACGAGTTCGGGTTATTTTAATTGCAATGAGATTTGCGGTCTTCACGGAATATAACTGATGTTTGTTAGGTTCAAGATCTATCAACGATTTTGTTGACTGCTTACGTTAGCGCATTTTTTAAAATATTTGTTCGCAGTCATTTTTCGTAAATATACACTTTTTAGAAGCGTACATGATTGGTTTTCACGAGCAGTCAAGAAATTTTGTCATGAACCTGAACTGGTTCGCTGTCTCAACCATCCATGACTGGAATTTAGATAGAGGAGATGGATGACCGTTAACGAATTTATTAGCCGCTACAGTAATTAATAAGAACGGACTAAACATAAGTAATATCTATAGCATTGACAAATAGCCATTTTTGTGATTTAAATTATCTGATTTGGGTAATTAAAATCCTTTTTTAATAAAATAATGCCAATCATTATGTAGTGGATTTTCTAGGAAGTGAATGTCTTTTCCAACAAAATTCCTGAGACTATCGCACCTGCTCCATCGTTTAAGTTGTCTACAATGGTGACTTTAGGAGCTTTTGGTTGAGATATCTCAAGAAAGGTAAGTATTCAACATTGATGTTAGCCTATCGTAGGCGCGTTTGTGATCGGGGAATCGAAAACTCCCTTGGATATTTTTCTAAGCAGCTGATGCAGAAGTGCGTAGATATCATACTAAATAAGTTGGAATACAATCTAATGTCTATTCAGTACTAGCAATGATCAAAAGTAGTAAACCTCATTTAGTGTAAGCATTTCTTTTATTGCAAGCATAATTAATCGATGAGAAATATAACTGCCATTTGCACCATTACGCACCATGTCGATACTGAATGACTGATCATCATAAAATACTACTAAAGGGAGGTCACTACTAATTGAATCATGAGTTTCCTTATTTACTTCCCATGATCAGATGAAATTCAAAAGGAGGGAAGACAGTCCCAATTTACAAATTTAGATATAAACCAAAAGTTACTGATCGTGATCATTCAGTGTAATAGAACATGCTATCTCCCTCTGAAGGTGTACTAAACAGTCGCAAGCCCTTGTTGCTATTTCAGATGTTTGACAAATTGATGGGTTTCCCATTGACTCCAACTAACTAACACTATGACATCTTGTCTCCTACTATCGCCTGCTACAAATGTATTAAATCAACCACTTATTTCTAAACACCATGAATCACAGACATAAAGAGAGAAATTGTCCTACATGGTATCTAGCGTCTTTATCTCATAGTGACGTATGGATTCGGCAGACAACTGTCACTGACCCAGTGGCGTCTTTTGGGACAGTGATCACGCATTGATTTTATACGTTTAATGGAACCACGTTGAAAAAGCTGGTTAGTACGACTGAAGAGGAGAATAATAGATGTGTTTATCACTCACAGAAGAGAGATGACCAGCTCTTTTTACAGATCACTTCGAGAGGCAAATCCAATGACCTCCAGCTAGTCTTCGGTTGCCATCTACTCTGTATCATCCTGAATAGAACGTTGACGTATGACATTTAACTCTCAAGAATTGAAACAGTTGTAAATAACCTGAAACAAGAAAAAGCAGCCTACTTGTATGGGCTTGCACTAGAATTATTTAAGGACAGTGGTTCAGGCTTATTATTTAGACTGACTGAAGTGTTAGTCAGTGTATTGGAACTAGATATGATCCCCTTTGACTGATCTCCATCACTGATCATCGTAGTCTTCAAGAAAAGGGGGAGATCCTCTTATGTTAGCCACTGAAGAACCAGTCTAATGAAAGTAGTGTCAAACACTTTAGGCACTGTAATCAAACGTCGAAATAAAGCTTGGGAACAGTGAACTTGAGGAAACCCGACATACTTCAGATCTGATTGTGGGTTCTTCGATCAGATGCTCACTCTTCATTAGTTCTTTGGACACATCCACAGTTATCAGCTTCCAAAACTAACTACTTTTCTCGGTCTGGAGGCGGCATTCCATCCACTTGCTCAAAAGGTATAGTGCGAGAGTCTCATTGAAATGGTGTTCTGAATAAGTACATCACCCTGGTAAAGATTTTCAGCATTTTAAGATTTCTAGTTCATTGATTAAAGGGTAATATCAACGAAGAATATTTTATTCAGCATATTCTTAACAATTTTAACAGTTATAAGATGGAATTATCCAACATGAAAACAGACCAAGTTTGAGACAAACACATTTTCAAAATATAATATGAATTAGATATGGTGGAGGAAAGAAAGAAAGCAACAAACCACGAAAAGGGGAATACTCTTTAGCTTATTGAAGGCCAAGCGAGGAGTAACATCCGAACCTACTCCTTTTTAACTTGGAGTTCGTGTTCAATTAATTTTGTTGCTACAGCTTCAGTTATTTTGAGAAGGCATTGGCATACTGCACATGGTAATGTTTTGGGAATATAGTATATTCGACAAAAACCCTGTTAGCACCTATATAGTGTCTTGTGTCTATCAGATACGATAAGACAGAACTTTTTATCTCTTTGACTTCACTTTTTCTGAGCCGAGCCTTCAAGTGCTCTCGTATCAGAAACCGCACCTGCCTAATAATACTTCATAACTTATTCAACAGTAACTGAAACGGAGTAGAATATGCTTTAGTTTTGGATTGAGCATTGAGGGACTACTAAAAGGTGTACAAAGGTTGTATCAGTAAAACGTTCAATTTTCTGACTTAGGCGTTGTGACAGTATATTACTTGGAGTATCTATCTCCAATTACAGACAGAAAATAGGGTTCCCCGCCGTCATTATGTTAAGGATCAGTCTGAGCCATGTTTGACTTGATGAACTTTTCAGGTTAGTCGTTTTCATTCGGAATGTCTCCAATCCATAGTATTTCTATTTCCACATACTCTTCGGAGATTACTCTAACTGCTGCGCATCTGATTATTCTGCTGTTTTGCTACTGAACTCTGTATATTGGAGCACTCGCATGTATATCAGGTCCTATGGTAAGGTATGAGTTACGTACGTTGAGTGGTGTCCTTTAAGTATATCCATTCTCTTCGTTCCAATTTAATTTTATCATAGACGTAAGGATAAGGGTCCCCTTCTCCTCATGTGACGTCATCGGAATCAACCCTATAACAGGAAACGCCTGGTTGGAATTAAAGTGCGCGGATAACAACCGTTTTAAGTAGAAATGCCGGTAAGATGCAAAGTCTCCTTAGCGTGTTGAGTGGTGATTTGAGAATGTTTCTCACCATCCAAACGCAAATGTTTGCTGTGGGAATGGTTTTCACTGACCCTTTGTCTAGAAATGGAACGGCAGTGGTTGAGCTTGTTGTCCACCTCACTTACTTGAGACTTCAGATCTGCTCCCGTAGGGTTAGTGACCGACGAAATATCTGTTCGAATACAAAAGGCTCTATTGGCTTTTGTCAACGTAGGCCATTCATGACGCTATAGTGATATCCGACAGCTTATTAAAAACGAGTGTACTTCGCTACAGTTCCCTCTGTTCTCTTTTATGGCTGTTAAATGCCTCCATTAGAGCACACGAGAAGATTCCAGGTGTTTGACCACCATTGTTTGTGTTCCATGGGCGATGTGTTGTGGTACCACCGCGTCAGCAATGCAGAAGTCAGGTGTAAAGGTTTGGATAGGAGAGAGAAGTCAGTTTGTAAGGTTTTCAACCCTTGTTGACTAAGATGACTAGGACGTATGTTACACATGCCTGGTTGGTGACCATGTGTCTGGTTGCGCAACGATGGGTGAAGTAATTTGCAGCTGGGAAAGGGTTTGAGGTGACCAGGCTGAAACATGGCGTTGATCCATGAGGTCTTTGAGTGTTGGTGTGAGATGTGTAGGGAAATGTGGACTTGCAGATTGGTGTATGTGTGACCAGTTAAGTCAGTAGTTGGAGATGCTGACTGATGTAACTCGAAATCGACGTCAGTGGCAAGGATGCATTCACTTATCTTCATCCTAACTATCGTGTCATATTTTTCTATTTGTTATACCATACCTTCCTCTCAGTTTGGTCTAATTACTGCAATTCCTCTTTCTTTCTTCCATCTTACTGTCGTGTATCATGATGTGCGGATGTGAGGATCGACAGCTTTTTCAACGTTATTCATTTCAGCGAAATCCTAAACTAATATTGACTGATTCCTGATTTTGTACTAGAATCACCCTGTATGAAGTTACACTTAGAAAGCGAGAAGCTGAAAGGTTGATGATGCCAAGAAGGGAACTGAATGCCTGTAGGGATACTAAGGTATTACAATCTTGCCTTCTGATGACCTAGCCACGGAAGGATACTTCTTGAATTACTTAAGAAACGTATATTTTTAAGAAAAACATTATTGACTTGAGTGCATGATGACTGTGCCCGAAGAATATTTACTTGAGGCTAGTCACAGTCTGTCAAGCAAAGTTTTTAATCTCCTTTAAATGAAAAAGGTATACATTTCTGCACCCATATGGAGGTGTTTGTTGGCTACCTACCCACAGACTATTTGACATCTGTTTTATATTGCATTATCGTGTATTCAGTGGTATTAATGTTGGAAGACTGCTGGTGATATTGAGTAAAATCGATCAGAATAGCTCACTTTTATCCACTCTTTATAATATTCTTATAACTCACTTGATTGAGCAGGAGACAGATAACTCAGGCATTGGGCTCCTTCCAGTAAGTAAGCTTTTAGGAACTTAGATCTCGCTCTTTTTCATTGGAGTAATGTTTGACTCACTGAAGTGTGTGATTTCACTCACTACCTGTGATGAACGTTTGCATGAAATTTATGTGTATATCAACCTTAAGTCATTAGTCGAATCGTATTTGAACGACTAAAGGGGTTACTCTGTGAAGAGGCATCAGTGAAGGTAAATCAGAGACTAATGATAAAGATTGTGTTCAAGAAAACCCGTATTAAAAAGTGATAAAACCAGCATAATAGCTTGAAATATATTTCTTACAGAACAATTCTATGGATTTACTTTTACACTGATGACAGCTGTGAAATGTAACGGATTCACTTAAATACGTTTATCATACACGTATATCGATTTACTTTGCTATAAAAATTAGTTTATTTTACAATAAAATCACACAAAATAGAATTCTATGTATGATTTTGACCTTTCTTTCCTCCTAAATCTACACTACCGTCTTCATATGGTTTTTACTGAGTGAAATTTTCAAAACATAGGCCTAACAACTATGTACTTATAATCAATTAGAGTTGAAATCAGAATGCACCGAGAAATCATGTTCATGTTCTTGAAGTAAGCAATGAATCACACCTATTGTATGAGGGCCGGTGTTTTATCTTATGTGTGGGCCATCAGCTGCAAGTTGGTTGCCTAGACCAATAATCCTCCTCCCCCTCCCCCTCCCCTCCCCCCCCTAAAAAACTAACCAGACAAGTTAATATATGTTGTGAATTATAATAATAACTGGATTTACCGTACTCACTCATAACAGTATTGTCGACTAAGCAGAACATTTTTTTTAAAGTGAAGAAGGATACTCTGTTTAGCAGATATTCCACATTTATTGAAGTGTAAGCATGTCTTAAGAACCCTTTCGTACACCCACTTAGTGTACAGTAAACTTACTGTCATAAACTCGTTCACTGTTAGTTTAGACTGTGTATAAAGGTACAGACTAACTAGCTGCTGTCCTCAAGATGACAGAAATCACTGGGGAAATATCTGATTTCCACACCAAGTCATTTCTAACCTGTATTTTGGACAACTGAAAAACAGTGTTATCTAAGATGTTGGTTGTTTCACACAATTTCTTCAATAAACAGTTATATTTCACTTCATAACACCCTACTTCCTTTCTCATTTTAAATTCTTATTTCTATAGCATAACATTCCTCTATAATCGCTTGTCGTCATTTTGTATATTCTGACCTAAAATCAAAATTTTTCGTAGAATGCTCAATTCTTCTGGTCTTGTGCCATTTTAAAATAAGTTCATTGTAGAGACCTGTTGCTGTTCCCTAGATTTTCTCCTCATATAGTAGCTTGTCTCACAATATGCTAATTTTGATGGAAACGAAGTAGGAATTTCAACCTGTCTATGCAGTGATGCCTATTCACAATTACAACTGCAGTCCCTTTCTAAGATCTGACGTCCATTATACTTCTATCCATTTTGAACTTTTGAATTGTCTGTGTGTTTCTTGACACCATGCATCTAATATGGTGTTTATTATGCTTACTCTGATAACAACCGGCTATCTCTATAGTCCTAAATCTTCCCAACTTGTACTTTGTTGATTGTACTAAATATTATGTGAATATAAATGGTTATCAAATACACTGTTACATATATCCTCTTGTAACTTGCATTTTAGAATGGCCATGTGTGCAAAAACATTTTTAACTTCGCCTCTTTTCTAATTTGCATAGGCTACCTGGCACAATAATTTACGATGGCGGACACGATATATATTCCTTGAATAAGTTACCTGGAATCACTACAGATCCTATAAAAGCGGAAATTAGTGTAGTTGATCCACTGGGTCGGGATAACCTTCTCCTGGAGTACCAAATAATGGAAGTGAAGCAGGTTTCAACGGATGATGTTTTCCGATATGTAGATGATCCAAAAGCAACTTCTTTGAATATGCCTCAAGTAAGATAGAATTTAATTTATAAATTTCTCTCAGGAATCCATCAGATTGTTGGATTGTCTTTTGAAAACGGTTTCGAAACATTCGTTAATATCTCTTGGACGAGCAGCTCTATTTTACGAAGAGCCAATCAAAGTGGTTCCGAATAAACTCTTCACCATTCATAAGGGTTTTATCAGTAGTGTTAGACCACAGTGGAAGGTCCGTGTGAACGTGGACATGGTGAGTAATTCAGTTTCTTACTGTATTTATTGGCACAGACTTGCAAAGCTTTTTTTACATCTGGAAACCTAGCGGATGTGATATATGAGAAGTATGGCGATGATATGGCCAAATACAGTTCCCAAATAGCATATGATTTAAGAAGAATTAGAGTTGAGACCGATAAGTTTTATAAGACTGAGAGTGGTATGTACTCTTTTTTCTCTTGCACCTAAAATGTTTCAGGAAATGCCTACTCCCGACGCTTCACTGTACATGGGATATCATCAAAACCAGCGAACTGTCTGATTATTGAGGAGCTGAAACAGTCTGTAGCTGAATATTTTGAACAGCATCATCATATCACTCTTAAATATCCATACCTTCCCTGTGTGAAAGTAATCCATGGTCTTAGTGTTTATTTTTCAAGGTTGATCAAAAACGTGAGGTTTATATACCCATGGAATTGCTGAACATTTTACCGTACCAACCACCTAGTGCGAGTAAGGCTGATGTGGCCAGTGAGGTGATCCGCTGTGCAGCAGTTCGGCCACAAGAACGCTTTAAAGAACTTCAGATTTTTGCAAACAATATGTTGAAGTAAGTAATTTGTATTTACTTGCTAAGGCTATCAAATTTTACTTCTGAGGTACACTCGAATATTTGTTATTTGACCTCTCGATGAGTCGTACCAGCTGTAGTGTTATTTATCAGTGATCATAGCAAATGTTATAGGTTCAGTATCATCTTTCCGTGATTTCTTTTGACATGTCTTGGCATTTAATTCGTTTGCTTGTAGGTTACACCCTCTGGTCAAACAGTTCGGTTTGGCGATTCAGTTGAAACCATTGGAGGTTGGTGCGCGAGAGATTCAACCACCAACTGCTGCTTTTGGTCGTTTTGGTATACAAACAGTGAAGGCTGGAAGCTGGAAATCACCTGGCTTTCATGACCCTGCTGGTAAAGGGAGTGAGCTTCATTGGGCAATACTCTGTGTCCCACCCAATCAGGTATGTTCGCCACTCTTGTTTCTCGGGTAAGAAGTTAAACGCGTAATGCTGCATATATCAGGCGGTTTCATCCGAATGATTGACCGTCTTCCTACATCATTTTCTCTTCCGCGGCTAGAAACCATTGCTAATGAATAACTACAGCTAAACATCAAGTGTGTTATTATCAAATAATAGTGTGAGATAGACTGGTCTCGACACCTACCTAGTTCTTCAGTCTTCTATATATCAACCTATCTTCATCAATGAGTAGGTTGATCGTCTGATGCGTCTATTTGGTGAGAAAATAGAAGCTTGCGTGCACCACATCTGACATATACAAGATGTGTGAGCTAATGAGTGATTGTCTGATAAATGAAATGTCGTGACGTGGAGGCAGTTGAATTTCCGAAATGACCTTTATTCACAAGGTTCTTTTGTGTCTGAAATAACCAACTAATGTTAAAATTCAACGTTACCCACATCATATTTGTTGTGTTGTTATACCTTATCTTCCATTTCCGAATGAATTCAAAGATTTTTAGTAAGTATATTATTTTTGATCTATCCATCATATTTATTGCTAGCGATCTCACGCTCATGTGCAAAAGGTTACGTCTGAATTGCCTCGTGCTGCCAGCCGTTTTGAGGTACGTTTCAATCCTCGACCTAAAGTGTCCCAATGTCCCAAAGGAGAACTTAGCAGGAAATTCGAAGAGCTTGCCAAACAAGGCTGTGCTTTCCTACTCCTCATCTTGTATGATGAGCTAGCATACCCTACGATCAAACGACTCAGCGACCTACAGATGGGCATCCGCACTCAGTGTGTACGAAGTCGCACTTTAGACAAACCGAGCGTGTTCCGTAAGTCTCTACTATTCTTTTTTCGTTGTATGCGATATCTCCGCATATTTGAAAACCTGATCGAGTTTTCGGTTTTTAGCGAATCTGTTACTGAAGCTCAATGGGAAACTTGGTGGTGTCAATTGGCAAATACCAGATCTAATTAAAAACAATCAGGAATTGATAATGGTTTTCGGAGCAGATGTCACTCACCCAGCACCCACACAGACTCAACAACTACGAAAATCAGTTGCCGCAGTTATTGGTAGTGTGTCACCCGATCTAATGCGATATGGAGTGGTAATCCGCCAACAAGCGACCACAGAGAGGGGAAGTAAAGCCGCCAGAGAAATCATTGATGATATGCGTCTTATAGTCAAAGAATTGCTTCAGGTTAGTACTCTCTTTCATGCTGACTTGATTTGTCCACATCATCTTCGTTACTTTTGTGAACACTGTGATTGTTCGCTTGTCCATTTCAGATTTACTTGCGAAATACGAAAGGGCGGTTCCCAACTCGTATGATTTTCTATCGTGATGGGGTTTCGGAAGGTCAATTTGAGAATGTGCTAGTTGAAGAGCTGGCAGCTATCCAGAGGGCTTGCTCAGATATTCGTCCTGGTGAGGAACCAGCTATCACTTACATTGTTGTACAAAAGCGTCATCATATTCGATTCAGACCGTCTGACCCCAGGTAAGCATTTTCTTTTTTTGTTTCTGTTTGTACACTACATCCTGAACTTGTTATGACAATTTCTCTGAATACTTTGCTAGGGCACGAAACGTGGAGCCAGGAACGGTGGTTGATACAGAAATCACACATCCCAGAGAATTTGATTTTACCTCTGCTCTCATGACGGCATTCAGGTAATTTGTCAGGCTATGTTTAATAATTTTGCCAGGGAACATCTAAACCTGCTCATTATCATGTTCTGTATGATGACAGTAACTGGACATCGGATGCTCTTCAAATGTTTACGTACCACTTGTGCTATGCCTACATGAGGTGCTCCCGGAGCGTCTCTTATCCAGCTCCAACTTACTATTCTCATTTGGCAGCATTTCGTGCACGTGACTGGCTATCAGACCTAGAGCGACCAGAAATCCTGTTGGATGGTGGTCGTTTCAAAATCCATGACAGCCAAGTTGATGGCATGTTTTACTTATGAACAGCTGTGAGCTAGGAAGATCTATTTATTACTATCTTGAATAAATTGTATTTACCTATCACCTAGACTTTTCAGTATACTTGAATTGTGGGGGTGATTGTCCACTGTTCATTTGAATGAGACTGCTCATTCTGCTTTTGGAATCAAAAATATCGATATCATATACTGTATCATCTCACCCTTAAACCCAATCACAAGGCTTCTTAAGACAGGCTATTCTTGGAACACAACGTTTCGTCATTTGTTTATTTTATGGGAGTTCGAGTTGACTTTCACTTTAATGTGCTTTGGTGATATTAGCAGTTTGTAATAACTGACTGAAAGCTACTACCTTGCCGTGATGGTCGAGCTTGTGTATGACAGTCACATGACACGCTATGCTGGTGGGACGCTTTTTCCGTTGAAGCCCTACCATACCAGAAAGGTAGGTCTGTTGGATAGTGGTTAGACAGAAAATGGCTATGATGGGGTCCCAAGAGTAAAGCCCTACTGTTGGCTTAGCGGGAGTGTGACAGCGTAAAGTGGTTCTCTTGGATGACCAGCAGCACCACGTCGACGCTGCCTCCCACGTGGAAAGCGGAGGGGGTGGCTAGAAAAGGTCGGCCCTAAAATAACATACTCTCCAGTACCCTACGGCATGCCGGTGACGGCGATCCGGATTCATAGTGGGAATCAGAAGCAACAAACTAAGATCTCGGACTTAGAAGAACGCCGTGTGTCACCAGCCTCAAGCAAGTGCACAGTTAACTCTGCAGTCATGTACCAACCCTCCTGAAATGATTGCAGCTGATAATAAATGCGCACAACGATAATAATGCAATGCGATACTTAAACTGGATACGAGTAACAACTTTTCTTCCTCAGATCTGATCCTTCATTGAGCCACGAAAATCAGAAGGTAAAGATGCCTGTGACTATGAGGAAGATTACTTGACAAAAACAGCATTTATGTGTATTTTTCCTACAGAAAATGAAGCCACTAGGTCACAAGTTGGGTATTTTTGTTGGACAGTTGAAAGGTAAATTTGTTCAATAAGGTTCTTCCGCTCATACAAAACCAAGGTTGCAATTCCAAAACTTCTACCTCGGCAGCTGATGACCTTGAATGCTGATTTCGAATGCTAATTCCTATCACCTTTTTCAGGTACCTTCGGTGGCGTAGGCAGCCAGGAGGTATCCACCGCCTGCACGCTTTCAGTAGTATACGAGATTCAATCAGTCATAACCTACCTTCTTAACTTCTGTCTGCTCCTTTGCCTTCAACACCTGATAAAAATATTAAGCCTTTCACTCTGTTACTATAGGACAACGATACAAGCCATCGAAATACCATTCCTGGTCTCTTAAAACCCCGGCGTCGGGTTCATATCGGACTTTCCAACGCTCGAACTCTGTACCAAATCGAACAGCTGGCATCGCTCACCAGAACTCTGAAATCTTGGTCCACAAATGTGTGCTGTCTCTACGACACTTACATAGGACGTGAGTGTGGTTATTAACTTGACCTCACCTTGCCATTGCGGTGAGTCTTCAAAATTCACCCTAAGAATGAGTGTACGAAGGCCCAGTGGCTAGCTCTTGTGGACTTCCTGGCGTCCTCACAGCATTAAGCCGTAAGACAGAAATCGCGCTTCTCTACTGGATACCAGTCAGCCGCCACCTATGTGCTGTTCAACTGAAGGATCTGTAGTTGCGTATGTACCGGATTTATTACTAATTAAACTACATGAGATAGTCGTGGTTGACAAATACGAAGTACAAATATAAAGGGATAATGGTTGTAGTCGGTAAGATGTAACTAAATACATGGTGTAAACATAAAGGTAATTAGCTCGAATAATTCCATCACTTAAGTGTCTTTCAACCTAGCCAGTATTGTGGTACACGAAACTGTATTTATAGTAATGATGGGTAGTGGCTGGCAGTGGGGTGCAGGATGCGCATTTCATCTTATTTGGGACTCGTCTACTGAATGTACTGTACCCGTAGCACAAAAAGTATCTATCGTGCTACGGTGGTGCAGTGGCCTTTGAAGCGATCGCTCCTGAGTCCGAATCCTGGTTGGAACAACATTCACTGGGAGGCAGGTACATCCAGCTGACGAGTCCCAAACAAGACGACGTGTGCATCATGGATCTCACTGCTAGCCACTATCCATCATTACTATAATTAGAACACATGTTATATCGAAGCATCCGCACAGGAGCCCATATGTCAATAGAGACAGATCAATTCGGTCCAATCAACAACGGTATAATACAAGCAATTATACTAAAACTGTATTTAGTTTTTAGAAACACCATCTATTCTGTTGCAAAATTCGATGCGAAGTTTAGTGTAGCACTTCTATATAGCTGCAGTTGCCAGTGTTTTTATATTTTCGCCAGTCACTTGATATAGCCTGAATTATGTGAATGTGGACGCTGTCAAAATACCTCTAATTCCACCCTTGCTGATTGCTCAGTTCCTCAGTAGTGGAAAAGGTGGTTATATAACAGGTGAACTTACAACGTCAACAATTTACACCAATTACCAGGTCAATATATGTATTACCACGGCCTTGGCTATTTACAGGCCTACTAGATTTAAATTCTATTGGCTTTCCATCTCTTCAGCCAATCGGATACTTACACGTTACTTAACATACTTTTTCTCGAAACTTAAAAGCAAAGTGATTGGTTGAAAAAGGTTTTAAGTGATCTTCCTGCACACCATATCAAGTACGAAATGTCAGAGGCATATATATTCGAGAAAATAAGTATATAGGAGTCTAAATGTTCAAACTAAATGTATCATGTAAATTTAAGATAAGAATTATGAATCACATCGTTCAAATAGAGTGACCTCAGAGAGATAGAAGGTAATTAATATATACATGTGCACAATTGAGGGATGGCGAACATTCGATGCATGTCGATCAGTTAATTTACATGCCTATCTGTCACTAGTAGTAACAGTAATAATAATCACTTTATTCCCAACAATTTTTTTGATTCCAAAGATGTAAGAAATACATAGGACGAAATATGACGACTGAACAGTTTTCTGAACCTTTTAAAAATCTTGTTACTGGCAGTTACAAATGCGCTAACCATCAAGAGTATATTATCTAGGGTGTAATGTAACAAAGTTAATGTAATGTAGATGCATTACTGAGCAACATTAGTAGTTATGAAGAACTCATGCTGATTTGCAAGTTTTCCAAGTCAGATTAGAGTGATATAATCAGCAGATGGTCGTTTCTCTCACTGGAGGCTGATTTCATTAACAGTGTGCATGGGTGAGTTTAGCTCACAAGGCAACTGCATTGCTTCGGTTATCTGCGTCTGACTGAATGGCTTAGATGGACCAAGATATACCATATACTGAACGGTCAGTTTTCTGATAAGGACGTCAGGCAAAACAACCACCCGATGTTGAGATGAGTTTAATCTGGCTAGCAAAATCTCAGATCAGCATGAGTGGTCTGAAAAAGGATATATCGTTCAGTAACATATCTGACTAGTCCATGACACTTATGCCACAAATCACAATCTGGTTTATTTCCAATAGGAACCCTGTTGACACCAGTTGAGAAATTAAACGATTTTCGAAAATGAGAGTGTGGAAAGAGCGATCTGTAAATAATTTACAAATTAATAATCCAATGTGAACCTTCATTGACATTACTTTTTTTGATGACAGTAAGGTAAGTGCTGCGACCAACAAGTCCTCATCGGTCACCTAAAATAAATTCACTCAAGCCTTGATGTCTAATTTGTGCTTTAGTATTCCCAACAAGCACCACTATATCGGTCGAATATACTTGAGAAGGCCACTCTGTTAGTGTTAGAACTTATGTATCGCTGTATCTCGTCAGCAGTTTGTCAGAGCATAAACGAAAATGACAGAGAGACATCGTTTCTCTCACTAGTTACTTCTTACTCTAACTCAACTTTCTATTTTAGTGAGAAAAAACTCCCTACTTAGTCGTCTGCAACGGGGATACGGAAATAAATCATGTCACGTCAATACCAAGGAAGTGAGTCAAAAAAAACAAAGTCGATATTATTTCTTTGGAAACATACTACCTTACTAAGGTCGAACAAAAACAAATGGAAAAAAATCAATAATAGAATCAATATTTATTCGTGTAACACTTAACACACGCAATAAAATGAACTCAAGATAACTATCAATTATATTGAACATTGTACTAAACAAACAGTAAGGAAAGACTATACATGTGACATCGATTGGTAAATGTGAGTAAATAATAAAAACTTCCGAATGTTGATGCGATCACAGACAGTAGTTTTACTCGAAATATTACCAAAATAAAAACTTATCGTCGTCAGTCACTGTGCATCATGTCAGAAGGCAGTTTAGGATCTTTCACGTCTCCCACCGCAGTGTGTTTTCATGTGAATTCATCATATATGTACACCACCAATGGTCAGGCAGAAAGTGACAAAATATAACAACATAAATGCACTATTTATCGACTAGTAGATATTTGTTTTCATCATTATTCTGGTAATGATGCATACTATCGTGAAAAAAGATTTGCTTGCCAAAATATATTGGCAATTGGATAATAGCGAGGTATGCACACGCTTCGATCGATCAAGAAACAAGATTATTCTTAGTTTTAAGACTGTTTTTATCACGGATTGGCGTTAGTTGAAAAAACATTGAAACCTAGGAGCACTAGACAACTACTTTGTCCTCAGCAGTATGCATCGATGAATATGCCAGAAATCCTACCCACTTTTCCAATTATGCTTCAAATCATGTTAGTCGGTGATGAAAGCCACTTAGTAATAGAAGAGTGCCTACAAACGACTACTTACTTTTTCTAATACTTCTGGTCTGAGTCATTTAACGTGATGTAGACTTCTTCATTGGAGTGTATGTCAAAAAGCCAAGCTGATGGTTGTAAAATAGGTGATATACCTCAGCTGAGTTCTGAGCATTTTGGTTAAGTTGAATATAAAAACTTGAGTTAATTGGTTTATATCAACAACTTCCATTTTCACAAAGGGAGTTATTTGTCACAGCCTGGCCTTATTAAACCACAC